GATAAAACTGAATTTTTGTTTTATGTTTTACAGCGCTTTACTATTTTTGTATTTTTTACACCCAAAAATTTCATCACCTGGATGGCTACAAATAAGTTGTTTAAACAAATGTGTTGCAATGGTACAAAATTTTTTTGTGCATCTGAAAGCTGTAGGTACTGAGGGTACTTATAATATTTTTTAAAGGGGTACTTTATTAAAAAAGGTTGAGAAACACTGGCCTAGACCATGGAAAACTAGATGCCTGGACTACAAACGTCAGAATGGGCTGCAGTTCTAGCCTCACAACGAAGACGATTCATTCTGAGGCACCAAAAAGAAGCACCTCGAAGCGTTTATCTGATTTAGCTCCCCAACTTGCCACTGACTGAAGGTGGATGCCACTTGCCTAGGAAATCAGGTAAAGTGGGAGGCTAGACATGGAAACTTATAATAAAAACAAACTTGTTTCATCTTTACCCCCTTACCCATTTTCTTTGGAAGAATTTCTTCCATCCTTTGCCCAGTGAGCCAGTGGCAGAGAAGAGAACAAGAGTCCTGATTCCTTATTCTTATGCCTTCCCCAGTGACCTCTGTTCTCCCTAAACTTGCAGCCTCACTGCTAAACAGTTTTGGAAATAAGGATGTAAAATCCCGTTTAACCTGTTAACTTGTTAAACATAATGGCTGTGTCTAGACTAGCAAGTTTTTCCGCAAAAGCAGAAGCTTTTGCGGAAAAACTTGCCAGCTGTCTACACTGGCCACTTGAATTTCCACAAGAACACTGACGATCTGATGTAAGAAATCAGTGCTTCTTGCGGAAATACTATGCTGCTCCCGTTCGGGCAAAAGTCCTTTTGCGCAAAAGCTTTTGCGCAAAAGGGCCAGTGTAGACAGCTCAGATTTGTTTTGTGCAAAAAAGCCCCGATAGCGAAAATGTCGATTGGGGCTATTTTCCGAAAAAGCACATCTAGATTGGCACAGACGCTTTTTCGCAAAAAATGCTTTTGCGGAAAAGCATCCATGCCAATCTAGACGCTCTTTTCTGCAAATGCTTTTAACGGAAAACTTTTCCATTAAAAGCATTTGCGGAAAATCATGCCAGTCTAGACATAGCCAATGTGTAACCGGTTAACTACTTAAGCGAGATCCTGTGGGCTCAGGGTCCGCTCCAGCCTAGCTGGATTGGACAGCGCCCCTGCCTGTGACATGGTGTAGTTGACTCAGCTGGGCTGGAGTGCCTAGTGGACCTGGCTGAAGCAGCCCCCTGCTCACATCGGATGGGAAATCATCTGAGCCCCTGGGGGTGCATCTGAACTGAATGGGAACATCCAAGGTCTGACCATTGTGATGTATGAATCTCCAGCATCAGAGATGTCCGTGCGATGGAAGGTTGCCTGGACTGTTCAGTTCATCCTAATGTCTTCAATATCTTCTGCATCTTTCCCCTATTTTGCGTGTTCTGTTTGACACAGTTAGCTCAGTATCTATTTAGAACCCTAATTAAAAACATTGCAATTTATCTTTGTAGCAAATCCACTGTCACTGCCGTGAGCGTTACAGTTTTCCAGCTTAACTGAATTCTAACATTGTGTTTATGATGTAATTTTAAGAATTCCCTAAAAACAAACTCAAATGGCTCTTTTCATTAATTCTGAATGTCTCCTGCATCAGACAGCGTTTTATCTGTGGAGAAGGCTGGAGTTTTTGTCAATTGTAATAAAATCCAATTGCTGTTTAATAACTGGAGTCAAGTCAAAAGGAGCCACAACAATGAGGAATTGGAGATTAGCTGCAGCAATCATTGGCTAATTGAAACAATAAGCTATTAACTGGTGGTTTGGCCATTCTCACAGAAACAGGAAGCTGCATGTAACTCAAGTTGGCATTACTAAGCATAAAGGCTCCCAGTTTTGACAGGAACGGATACTGAATCCTTTTGTCTTGGGATGCTCTGGCAAAAGGCACCTCATAAATGTATGTGATAAATAAAATGATAATCACTCGCTTTCCAATAAGCCACACAAACAGGAGCATATTTCATGCAAAAGCATCATAACTTTCTCCAAGTCTCCTCTCTCCATTTCACCCAAGTCATCTCAGAAAGTTTTCCATTTTTAGGGAATATCACATAATTAGCCCATGGAATGTTTTAATAGCCCATCCATATTAAGAGAATGAATTTCAGTAGGTCAGCATCTGGGAGTGAGGCAGTCACATAGAGTGTTCATAAAGGGCACCGGTTTTTCAGGATGACAACCAGTGCCAGCCAATTCTATGCCTGTAAACGGAACAGCAACATGTCTGTGGAAGAGCCATGGCTGCCACTTTCCACAGTACAGGTTAAACCTCTCTGGTCCGGCACCGTCTGGTCTGGCAACATCCATGATTTTAGTTAGCTGGATGTCCACTTATCATGGGTGTGGCCAAGTTTCCTATGGTCCCATAAAGTTTGTTTACAGCCACCAGTCCTGGCTCTCAGAGTTATTGATATGTTATTTAGCTTTAATTTCCCCTAAATGTCTTCTAAGAGCCCAGCAAGCAGGGGAAGTATTGGTAATGCTGCTAGACAATACTGACCTTCCAAGGCTCAGCGAATTCTCTGGTTTAGCACCGCTCAGGTCCTGAGGGTGCCAGACTAGAGAGGTTCAATGTGTATAACATCCATCACCCTGCAGACCCCATTTATCTGAATTCCAAGATGGGATACTGGCAGCCAACCAGCTGTTTTATGGGCATAAATAGCGACTCCAATAAACCTTTATCTTGCTTCCTCTGAATCCCAGCAGAAACTGAAAACCTCTTTATCCAAAAGGTACACCTGAAATAAGGTTCATCAGCATGTTTGCAAGGCACATTCAACTCCACCTGGAAGTCAAAATTATAAATATTTCCTCTCCTGTCCTCGGCAGTCCCCGACACTGGCCCAGTTGCTGTGGGGAAGTTAAGAGAGAAGAGAGGATGTGGGCAGAATCTAGCTCTTGAAGAATACTTCTCAGAAGCAAGTAGTGGGAAAAAACTTGACCAAAAAAATCAGTATTTATTTCAGTAAATTCTAGAAAAGCAGCCAGCCACCCCACAAAGAATCTGTGCAACAGTGGACAGGCGAACAGCCTAAAATCCCCAGACCAGAGAGGTATATGATGTAAATGTTGTCCATCATAAAAATCAATGGTTCTTTTGCTAAGTGGTCAATATTTATTTGGCTTTAGCATTGTTTAATTCAATGCATCAATTAAAGATAGTGTAATGTCTGATTTGGTCCCAAGCTGCTGTTTCTATTTGTCGTTACCTCATCTGTTTGATATCACTCATGTCTTTAAGTCTCTGCTCTTTTGTCCCCTTGCATAACTCAAGGACAGGAGTAATTGACGTGAAACTTTTAAAAATTAATTTCACCGCATATGCCACTAACGGAGAGTGCAAGTCCTCAGAATCATTTATAACTTCATGGTGATTGGCCCTGACAAAACAATACCTTAAAAACTCCCGAAAGTAAATTATGGTCCAGGCAAATGGCTGAATGCGAGCTGGGCCTAAGGCTTGGAACACAGCCAGGCAAAAACAAAGTAATGCGCTTTTGATATTAATAACAGAGATGATATTGATCTGCAAGCCAGTGTCACTTCTACACTCAGGCAAGGAGATTGCTTCAGGCATTTAGTCCACTGAAAGCCACTTTCCATATAGGCCATTTAATTCTGTGAGTCTTTAATTATATGAAATGGAACCCAGTTAAAGGGCCAGATACCTCTTTCACCCATCTTAGATGTGGGCTGTGATTCAGGAAGCTGTCAAAAACGTATATAACTCAATTCCTAGATTTCAAAATGCACTTGTCTTTTTAAATGTTTATTTCATCTGTGTGTTTCTTTGGCTCACAACCTGCTGCGCATCTGTAGATACACAATCTCAAGTTACAGGATCACATTTTTTAAAAGACCTGAAACTAATGCTTCTAAATTTTATATAATAAAAGTAGTAAGTCAGAGGGGAGAGCCAAAAGTCAGAGGGAGACAATTCAATATTCCACTGCTTGAAACCCCCACCCAAAAACCGAAGATGATCAGATTTGTCTCTAGGGGTACGTCTACACAGCGGGGCTATTTCGGGATACTGGAAGTTATCCCAAAATAGCTACCCCACATCTTTTGACGTGCACACTATTTCAAAATAGCGCCTTATGGCTCAAAATAGCGCATTATTTCAAAATTTGGTGCTGGGTAGATGCACCAAATTCCTAAATACGCTATTTCGAAATTCAATCGAAATAACTGAAATCAGATCTTATATCAAGTTTAGGGGGATGTGTAGATACACCCTACATGAGTAAGTAAGTGGATTATTTGTCTTATATCTATGGCAGCAGTCCCCAGCTTTTTCCAGATGGGGACCCATTTTGACAATTCAGGAAGACTTGGTGACTCGAGGCAATCAAAAACGGGGGGAGGAGGCGAGGCAGAGCCACCTGGGGAGACACTTGGTGACCACGACCCATACGTTGGGAAACCCTGATCTAAGAGAATAGATTGTCTATTAAAGGCATTTCCTGAGGGTAGGGGATGGGAGAAGGTGCATCTCCCCAGGGGAGCGGCCTGTAGCAGAATCAATTTCCCTGTGGGACCATGGACCCTGCCGTATTCTTTGACCCTCCCTCGTGGGGCAGAAACTGCAGGAGGTGGAGGGATCATGCTCCTGAAAGTTAACTCCGAGGCTATTATTTTCATACTCGGCTCCTACATACTAGTGAGAGCGTCCGAGGGTGTGTCTTCCTGAGGTCAGAGCAGCTTCTTTCTGAAGCATGTGTCAGTCTTTGACACAATTTAGGAACTGCTGGGATGTTGTCTGTTTGGCCGTGTGTTACCCAGCAGCTGTCTGGGGGGTGAAAATCTCCATGCACATTCGTTATCCTGCTGCTGAGTGCACTTTGGGAGCCGGGCCAGGGAGTTTTGTTCTCTCTCCTGTCCCAGGGGGCTGATCACAGATTACTCCAGTTGTTCCCACCTTTGTTTCTTATCTAGAAGGCCCACTGCACTGTCGAGCTAGCAGAGCATCATACGGGCAACGAGATGTGTGGCAGCAATCAAGGAGCAGGCAACGCAGAAACCAGACTCTACTCTTCTCCTAAGGCATCAGAAGTGTGTTGATGGCCAAGACTGCACTCCAAATAGGTGTGCGACTCTCCTAGAGCCAACCTGCTGGATTAGAGGCAGAGTAACGTCACGGCTTATCCTGGCACTTGAATTCTGCGGTGCTACAAGCAGTTGGATGGAACCTCGAGATGTTTCTTGGCTGGTGCAGTGGTTGCGTATGGGTGCGCATGTCACTGCAGGACAGCAAGCAAAGCGGCGTAGGTGCCTCTTCACACCAAGCAGAATCAGGAGAAACAGACTCTCTCCTGGCAGAGGTGAGACCTTGTGCCAGTGGCGGGACAAAGGATCTGCTTCATTAGCACCGACAAAATTGAGAAGCTCCTGCACATGCCTATTGCTGGAGACGGCTCTTTACAAGAGATGCCTTAACTCTTTCTTGCCTGGGGTCTAGCACAGGTTCTACGCCAACAACTCCTGATGAGTCTGACAAATGTCAGTAGGCTAATAAACTGAGCTTTGAACTAGCCATTATAAAGCATCTCTGGTTGGAGCAGGGGTGGGCAATAATTTTTGACAGGGAGGGCCACTCCAAGAATTTGGTAAGTGGTCCAGGGCAGCACTCTTCCCGGATATTAATGGAAGAGGTGCGGGGTCTGGGATGGAGGTTGGGAGCAGAAAGGAGCTTGGGGTGGGGGACTGAGGTGCAGGAGGGAGTGTGGGAGGGAGTTTGGGTGAAGGAGGGGGTTGTAAGCTGGGGTAGGGAATTGAGGTGCAGGCTTTGGGAGGGGGTATGGGTGCAGGAGAGGATTCTGATCTGGAGGAGGAGTGTAAGAGGGATGCGGGATCTATGAGGGGGTTGTGACTTGGGGCAGAGGGGCAGAGTTTGGGTTATGACCAAGGGCAGGAGGGGGTTATGACATGGGGATTGGGGTGCAGTGCCTGGGAGGGAGTATGGGTGCAGAAGTCGGGGGTGCAGAGGATAGAGCTTGCCTCAGCCAACATCCTTAGACAGGCTTTCGCCTTCAGTTGTTCCCCCACAAAGTGAAACACAGGCCCTCTTCGCTTCCCTCCACCCCGTCCCAGGTCTGAATTCCATCTGGGAGCTTCGTGCTGGGCACATGGGGAAGTAAAATGAACTGCTCAGCCCAGGCATTGGGTAGAGAACTGCTGTGCAACCTGGGGAAAGTGGGCAGTACATGAAATACAGCTGTGTTCAACGCAGCCATCCCTCTCCAGCCCTTACGTACAATATAGAAAAAATTACTAGTCCCTATTTGCTATTCTGAATCTTTCTAAAAGCCAGAATTGCGACACTCAGACCTCACCAGGGTATTTCACCACCCTGAACATTTGAGAGACATTCTGTGTAATTAATGAGCCATGATACTCGCTGGAAGAATAGACACCAGCCAATATGAAAAGGAGGAAGTTCACGGGGCTGTCCTATGCTGCACTCGCTGCAGAATTGTTACAAAGTTGGGCAAATAGAAACTGCACCATAGAGATGACGAGATTATCGGTGCAGAGTTGACAGGCTATGGCGATGGTGAGAAAATAGTTTAATCATGACTTACAGCGCTTACCCTCTTTCAGTAGCTAATGACACTTTCATTTAACAGGGAAAGAAGAAGCCTGGAGTGCAAGTGACTACAGAGTCACAATGTTTTACCATCCCAAACTATTGAAAGGTTTATTATTCCCAACACAAATTATGAAATTGCCATGAAGTTACTTGTAGTTAACAATGCAGTTACACTGCAAACTGCTAATGGGAAAGTAAAAGAGAACATGAAAATGTCATTCCACTCACAGCTTTTATGTTAAGGAAAAAGAAACTCTGCCATTTGGGTAGGTAGCAAACCTGAAGACACAGGCTGAGCTGTTATGGGCATTGGCTCTGACCCCTTCATCTCTCAGACTTTCTCATGAAGGAGCTGACTTATAAGAGCGTCTCTAAGTGACAGTCATTCGGGGCACAGGGTTTAGTTGTAGGCACAGAGGCAGACGCAGGTGGGCTATACGGGGGCATGTTTTGTAATGGTTTTACTCTTCAATAGTCTGGCAGAGCAACCTGACAGAGAAGTGCGGAAGCCATTAGTGTGTCGTGAAGATTTTACTGGCAGAAGGTTGGGGGTGCCCATGCTGGCCTGCACTCAGATCAAGTTGGCCCATCACTGTGGTGTCGAAGGGATATTTACTCTTTTAGGGCTGTTCAAGAGAGCTTTCAGCATTTCCCTGGGGCTCTGTCCACAGGCAAAGCTGGGCTCCTCAGTTACCAGGGACCCTAACAGTCCTTCCCATGGATGCCAAATAGGTGGGGCTCTGGGGCAGGGAAGCAGGGAACATCCCCTCAGAGATTTCCCAGAAAAGGGTTCCTGCCCATGCAGAGCCAGAAAAGCATCTGTCCCTGGCTAGAGCCCAAGGATCTTCCCCAATCGAGCTAGACTTCAGGGGCATCTATGATAAGTTCTCATATCTCTACAATGGCTTAGGAGACCCTTCCTCCATTCCAGCTACCAAGCAGTGAGGCGTCACTGCTGCCTCATTACAAGGGCTTCCTGGCTGGTCATATCTCCAGGACCCCATTTTAAAACAGCTCTGTGCTGAAGATGAGGCTCAGACTGCACTAACTACTCACCAGCATTTCCATGGGGTTTGGAGGGGAGCTGGCACCATCCTTTTCCCCAGACACAGATCCTCTGCTCTGAAGAGGGCTCTCCATAGGGCCCAGGGCCAGGGCTTGGTCCAACAAAGATGGCTGACCTCACCCACACATGGAATTCTCCTCCTCACAGCCGGAAGAAGGACGGAGTCCAATTATCCAGGCCCCCACAGAAGAGAAAAATTACAAACAAACCTCTAAAAATGAATCTAACAAGGCACTTCCGGTCACTGCTTCAGCATCTGACTTTCCAGGCCAGGGAGCAAAGCTATTCCTCCAGTGGGGTGCTGGGAATGGCTGGTCTGAACCATTCTGCTAATTCAAGGTGGGACAGTGCCCATCTTGCCCCCTCAGATGAGGCTTCTTTGTGGGAGAAGACAGGACATTCTTTGTAGCAGATTTCAGAGGGGGAAGCGGTGTTAGACCAGGTCGACACTAGGTGAGGAAGTTGACCTAAGACACACAACTCCAGTTCTGAGAACAGCGTAGCTGGAGTCAATGTACCTTCAGTCGACTTTCTGCAGCATCCCCACTGCTGGAAGTTGACAGGAGAAACCCTCCTGTTGACTTCCCTTCCTCCTCACGACCCCGTGGAGTCCCGGAGTGGTCGGGGTGCCCTCAGCAGTCGATTTTTACTAGACCTGCTAAATCGAACCCCAGAAGATCGATCTCCAGATAAGACCTGGCCTTAGTCTTTTTCAGCAAACACAATGGCTACTTCTAGACAGGCATGATTTTCCGCAAATGCTTTTAACGGAAAAGTTTTCCATTAAAAGCATTTTCGGAAAAGCGTGTCTAGATTGGCACGGTCGCTTTTCCGCAAAAGCACTTTTTGCAGAAAAGCGTCCGTGCCAATCTAGACGCGCTTTTCTGCAAAAAAGCCCCGATCGCCATTTTCGCGATCGGGGCTTTTTTGCGGAAAACGAATCTGAGCTGTCTACACTGGCCCTTTCGCGCAAAAGCTTTGCGCAAAAGGACTTTTGCCCGAATGGGAGCAGCATAGTATTTCCGCAAGAAGCACTGATTTCAGACAGTAGGAAGTCAGTGTTCTTGTGGAAATTCAAGCGGCCAGTGTAGACAGCTGGCAAGTTTTTCCGCAAAAGCAGGTGCTTTTGCGGAAAAAACTTGCCAGTCTAGACGCAGCCAATGAGGCATCGTGTGGCACCTTAAAGGTTAACACATGTATTTGGGCAAAAGCTTTCATGGGCCGGAACCCGCTTTGTCAGATGCATTCATGCCACAGGACTCCTAGTTTTTGTAGCACAGTGACTTTTGTTTTCAATGGCAGATGTGAGCTGCGCACAGCGATTTGGGATAGCAGCTCTGGTGCCAGGGAAGCTGAATGAATCAGCAGGGTGCATCAGCGCTGTTCTTTACCAATAAGCCCATGGAGGCATGGTGTGGTGGAGGCTCCCTCACCACCAGTTTGGGATGGTCTCATTGCTCACAATCAGCAAAGGGAGACATCTCTAAATAGCTCCTTTCCCTCTCTGTTCCTAGCATTGCTTCCTCTCCACAACGGCTAGAAATGGACCCCTGATTGCACCCTGGTTTTGTGACGTTTGCATTATTTTGATTTCACCGAAAGCGCCGACGACTTTCTCTTATCTACCAAGAACAAATGATCTCACTCGTGTTAATCTTTTTTATGATTACAAGATTCTAAATTATTAAAACAAAATCTGAGAAGTGTGTTGAGATTTACCCTGGGACGGATGCAAAGAATACTTCCTTTCAGCATCAACGTTAATTAATAAATGCCCTCCCCCCTTTTTTTTGCATACCCAGTTGTTAGAGAGATAAGAGAGCTGGCAGACAGTCAACAGAAAAGTGCTGTCTAGAGCCAAATAGTCTTGCACTTGACATAATTTGTATCTGTAAAGAGTGCCTTGTCCTTTGATAAAAGCAGGGGAGTGTTGGGGCACATGCAGTGGATCAGCAGGGGCGTCGCTGACATCACCGATGCGGCTTCAGTGTGAGAAGTGATTTCAGGTTCTGATGCAGAAAATAGCAGGGTGTCTGACATACAACACAGGGCAGCACCCAAAGGCTTGCTTTTATAGACAAGCAACAAAGCTCCCAGACCCTCGCTAGGTACCAGTGTGTACGATTACTACACGTTTCATAGGCAAGGAAACTGAGGCACTAAGAAGGGTGGTGACTTCAAGATCTCATAGCCTGGGGGTTAGAAATCAGGAGAGTCTGGAGCAGTTCTGTTATTAGTTGCTCTGAGATGACCATTTTGATTCTGGGAAGCACTGGCCTTTTGGGTTGCGACTACCCGAGAAAACAAGAAGCCCAAAGAGCGTTTCCCATCAAGCGACAGTCGCTTGATTTTGAATTGCATTTAAAATAAACAACGCACCCAGGAAATGGAATTTTTTTGGATGGGCAATCTCGGGCTGCACTGGTTGCTCTCTCTCACACTCTCCAGTCACCGGTGCCCTGTGTACTGCTGGCTGGGGGCTGGTAGCTGAACACTTCCTTTCCTCAGTGTTGTACATTTGGTCCTAGACAAACTCAAAGGAAGCTATTGAACTCCACATAGAAGCCACAGTTAGATCACATCTAGCTGCCTCGAGAGTGTAAAGCATTTCGTTTGCCCTGGTGTTTGGATCTCATTTATTCACCCTAGATGACGAGCAAAGATGAAATTATGCAACAAAACCTCTACTTCAATATTCCTTTTGGCAAGCGCTGCTGACAATATCCAGGCAGCGGCCAGCAATGAGAGCCCAACACTG